TTTTAGTAAGATTGATTACTCCTGTGAGTTTCATGACAACAGGCCTATCAGTTTTCCTTGAAATGTGTTAACAGTGTTGCATATATGCTGAAAAGTGAAAAAACAGCATAAATTCTACAATAATGGCCCGATCATGCTGATTTTCGAACTTGACCTGTGTTTTATGAATATTCATCAGCTCTGTAAATATAAAGCCAAAAAGTAAAACTGTCTTCCACTTATGGTGTTAACGCTGAAAGTGCACGGCGACGGCGACGGCGACATGATCGGCGACGGCGACGGCGACGACAGACGCAGGTGATGGCAATATGTACAGACACATCTGTGTCTGTACATAATTATTGGTTGATAAGATTTAGACCCCATTCCCAGAGATTAGATCGATCTACTTTAGATCGACCTAAATCCCTGGGGGTTCACGCTAGATAACTGTGAGCCGAGCGGGCACGAAAGTTAATTATCCCCTTATAGCTTGTAGTAGGTGGGACGGACATTTAAGATGGATTATCTGACAGTAATCTAGTGAGACTCCCCGCGGGGATGGATCGATCTAAAAGCTCTGGGAATACGCCCATAAATAACGACAAACTACATGCTTTACAAATAAAAGCAACAGAGTAACTCTGTGTACCAAAATAAATAGCTGACTGCCATCTGTGATTACAGAAGCTATGAAAGATGCCACTTTACCTCTTCCCACAGCTCTTCTTGCAGAGGTTCTACTATATCCACAAAGCCTTGGGGGAACATGCCTTCTTTGACACCATTTCTGCCAAACAACCAATCAGCATCCACACGCCGCAACAGAACTATGACATCACCAGACTATGGGTTTTAAAATGTGAAAAATAAAATAAAAATTAATTAATTAATTAATTAAACAAAATAATATAATCAAAATAACTGACATTTGGCATAGATAAAAAAGAAAGGAAATTACAAATTTATGGAAATAGCCTTTTATTCTTTTGATAGACTTATAAAATGTTTCACTGTTGCAGAGAAAAAAAAGATGACAATCAAATACAGGGGCGGATTTAGGGCGTCTTCTGGGTCTTCCGGAAGACGGTCAGATTTTCAAGTTTACATTGTCGGGCATCTAATGTTTTCTGTCGGAAGACGGTCAAAAATGGAGAATGGATCAACAAAGATAATTTGGAAGACTGTCAGAAAATATCTCTGGATCCGCCCCTGAAATAAATGTAGCATAAAAGGATTCCTATGACTAATCAGGGGATACTTTAAACCAGCCACACTGTGTCTTAGCATACCTTTAATTTACCTTCACCTGTATAACAGAGTTTGAGTATATTCACTTTATCAACTAAACATTTGCATAAATGGTCAGCATGAAGCATCAATCTACTGGATGGCACTTATTCCAGCATACCTTAAAAGACAGCTCATCTGGTTGGCTGGAATCATAGTCATAAGCTGCTATGCCGTGGGGTCCCTCCACTACATAGTGGAACAGGGGATGACCTGGGCCTGGTCGTGTAGGGAGGGGAGGAGGTTCTAAGAGATTGAAAAAAAAAATAATAATAAAATAACTAAAAACAATAAAATACAATAAAAAAATGAAAATATTAAGATGAAATAAATACAGAATTGTTAATTATATCAATATCAAGCCGCAATCAGAACCTAGGCTGTCCTTCATGAACATTGTGCATATCATTTGCATGCAATACTTACTATAGCTCCTACGTATACCCTGTCACAAGTTCTGCAAGCATGTATACTAATATTTGTGACTGTGTTCCACTACTATTACAGTGGCAGCTGCTTTTGTGTTTGCTGATGGCCTTAGCTGGCAGATACCCATGCTATGTGGGAAATCTTATACACTACCAACCAAGTAAAATGTCTGTCCATGTGACTCAGTCACTGACAATGGCTATAAAATTATATTGCAAGGGGATCACACAAATGATAGAAAGAAAATTAATCAATTACAGTAAATTTTCAAAAAGAAAGATCAATGGTCATGCCTTATAACATTGGTTCTGCAGTTCTGCAAAAAGAAGTACATGTATGTCCTTTTTTTCTTTTTTGAGAGCAAAAAAACAATGATGAATCTTGAAATATCCCACTATCAGAATAAGTGATGCGTGAAGTTTGTGTATTTGGTGCCACAGTACAGGCAGGCTCCACATGGAGCAAGTTACTCACCAGATGTCCCTGCAGTCTTTGGCTTTGCCCCAGTCAGTTTGGTTGACTTAGGTGGGCTGTGTTTGGATGGGGCAGCCACTGCAGGCCTAGAATAAGAGTACCTGGATATTTGTTCAAAGTGAAAACACTATTCCTAATTTTAGTTCCCACTTTTATCAAGTTTACTTCATACTTATTTTGCTTTATATTTTGACCCCTATAAGTTCTTAAGTATATTACTTCTTTAATCAAATTTAAAAAAAATACCAAAATGATTTCAATAATTAAAAGGAATTATTTTAATATACCTGAAGCCACCTGAAAAGCAATTCAAGATTTAATATGCTTGCCTTAGCCTCAGATATAATTGTTACATTAACTAAAATATCAAGCCCCCTTTACGCTGGATAGCATCCTATCTGCGTCTTTGGTGCTACCATGAAACTGTTATGGCTGTGGTTGTAAAAAGGAGGCACAAGCATCAATCTGGCTGTAGAATAAATGCTTAATGATCGACGTGCAGAAAGGACAACGTCCAATGTAAAAGGGGTTTTACTACTAAACTCCGTTCATAATCACATAATTTATTAAATCTTTTACTTTAAACATTACTTAATAATATTCAACTATAATCAGATATTAATCAAGATACCCATTTTTACCTTGGTGGAGGGTTAGCGGAGGGGCGTGGTGGAGGCATGCTTTTTGGTCTCCCAGGTGGGGAGGATTTCTTCTCATCCACTGTTATATCTGCATCCATCAGGTTTCGCACTGCTGTGTTACTCTGTACTGAGGGCATTGCAGCAGGGGGGGCTGAGGGTCTTGAGGGAGATATCTTTTTATTTTTTCCTGCGACTTCTCCTTCAGTTAAATGTATGTCATCTGTTAAAAGATCTACACCTGAAGTTTGGTTTGTTTCAACAGCCTGTTGTTTAGGCAGATTATCAGAATTGTTACTTATATTTTCCTTACTCCCCTTAAATAGACCTGAGTTTGACTTGGGAATAATGGTTGGCCTGAAAGACGGCTTTGGAGGTTTAATTTCTACAGGTTTAGCAGGTTCTGTAGTTTTAATGTCTTCTTTTAATTTTGACACATTTGAGTAGGCTTTAGTTGCCAGAGGATCAAAGTCTGTCAGTTTCAAAGGACTGGCAAGAGAATCCTCTTGTTTTGCACCATTATCCATGGAACTTTTAGGAAGACTTCTAATAACCGTTGGCCTCTTTGCAACAGACGGTTTAGCACTGTGAGCACCAAGTTCTGTCAAGTTTTTGTCTACAATATTACCCATGTTCTCAGGTTCTTCAAATTTGTTCTGAGTACTTGTTTCAGTCTTTATAGGTTTTGGCTGTGGTTTTGGCTTTGGCTTTGGTGGAAGAACAGAGGGAGGTGGCTTTCTTGTACCAGAATCCCCCCTTTCTGATCCACCCAAGTCACTCACCACAGCTTCTGTGGCCACCTCTTTTTTTACTTTTGGACGTGAAATAATTGTTGGCCTCCCTGGTAATTTTGGTGGGGGCTGCTCCTCTGTGGATAAGGTCTCTTCAAAAGATATCAGTTCCTCCACTGGTTCACCTTGCTGCATGTCATTGCTTTGCTTTTTTAAGGAAGTGGACCTTTTAGGGGGTGGAGGAGCTGGTTCTTCTTCAGCCTGTGGAGTTGTCATATTTTTGGTTCTTGATGCTGGAATAGGTGGCGGAGGACCCCGCCCTTCAAGAGGAGCCCCACCCTGAAGTGACACGGGCCTTGGTGGGGGTTTGCTTGGCTTAGAAGGTGGCTCCCTCTTGGGAAATCCACAGTCACCTTCAGCAGGGTCCTTCCAAAATGACTTTGTGCTTATCTGACTTGCACTGCTGCCAGCGTGCCCTTCTAAGCCAGGGTGACAACTTTTTGGTCTTGATACGGGTGTTGGCCTCGCTGGTTTTCCACTAATTGCTGGGTTTGACCTCTGCACATCATTGTTTGGAGGCGGAGGCTACATATAAAGACATATATATATCTCATACAGGGGAAATAAATAAAGATTTAAAATGACATTTTAAATTCAATAGCCTTGATTACAAAATGGCCATAATGACAGATAAGACATAATTACATTAATTTTTATTGGGAATTTGAGAAATATGCATAGTATTTTTTTATTTTTGTATATATTTAAGAATTGAATAAAAATATTTTCCGATATTTGCCACAGCTGCAAATAACCAATGAATGTATAACTGATAATGCTGAAATCCAAGTATATCCTTACCTCACCCTCTTCTGATGATCTGTTGTTAAAAGGGGGAGTAGGAGATGCTTCAAAAATGAAAAAAATCACTTGGTAAACATGTTATCAAACAAACAACAAGCAGGTGACATATTTATCTGAAGACAAAATATGCAGTATCAAAGTCTGTATCCTACATATCGGTGGACCCATTAAGGTACAAAATATTAAGTTGATTATCTCTTCATTGGAAATAAATCTGTTCTCTGCCCACTGTACATAGTTCAATGCCAACTATTCTTAACCACAGAAAAATAAATAAATAAATAAATAAATAAATAAATAAATAAATAAATAAATTAATTAATTAATTAATTAATAAACAAACATAAAATTCTTTCAAAATTATAATTAGAAAGCACTTCTCAATACAAATATGAAGTAATGCATTACGATATATAAAGCACTGCCTGTGTACCTGGTTTAAGGGAAATGCTGGAAGGTACCTCAGGTGTGACATTTTCACTTTCTCTGAACCCAACTTCACTCATAGGTCTAGCAGCTACTATGGTAATTTCTGGCCTCCTGGTGGGAAGACTCACATCATTACAATGTACAAGAGATAGCAGCTGGGGTGGGGATATTTAAAACTACATTTCTGAGGCTCAATCTCTGGATTTATTTAACATGAACAACAGATACAGTGCAACTCTTTTATATCAACAGTCTGTGCCAAAAACTTTTTAGACTACTAGCCCTTCGGGCTAGCAGACTCTCAAACTTTACTAGCCCGAACCAAAAAACACTAGCCCAATTTAAATAATTCATTTTAAAAGTTTAAGCAGATGTTGTAAAGAGTTGTGGTACCATACTGTACTTTCTTGTAAACCTTATTATAGAAGTAGAGCAAGTGAATAACAAAGTCAATCAGGTTAATTTTCAGTTGATGGGGTGGTAAAATTGATTTAAAATATATTTAATTATTTAATATTGAAAAAATTCCCTTTTTTAATATGTAATACTGAATATAGTTACCCTTACTTTTCATATTTTTATAATACCTTTCTTTCCATTTTTATATGCAATCAAAAATTTTTTTTTAATTACTATTCTTTTTATTGACAATGGCTCTTTTCCTACAATTTATTTCCAATTACATCGGTATATAATGCCACTTCTAAATTAAAATACATAGGTGCTGTAAGGGTAATTAAACAAACGTCTTGCAATTTTTTTGGTTACAATTCTTTTGGTTATACATTTGTAAAAACAACTTTTCAAGGACTTTACCAGGACAAAGTGTGGAGGGGTAGCCATGGCATAAACCCGACTATTCCACATTGTCAAGAATAGTTCATAGGGTATTTATGTCACATGTAACTGCCAGGGTCTTGTTGTTTTTAAAAGGCAATAATCAAAGGAAAATGTATTAACTCGTGGATATTAAAATTATAAATAAAAAATATAAACAAAAAGGAAATAGAATACTACACCCCTCAGTCTGCTAATAGGTCCTAACCCAAATGTTCTATGAGATAATGCATACTTTACACTTGCTTCGGAGACAGTGTTGTTTTGACAAAACCTGTTGCTAGTACCAAGGAATTCCGGTCTGATCCAGTAACTTGATTGACAGCAATTTGTAGTCATGACAACAAACTGGTCAAATAAAAAGATGCCGACACGCTGATCAGACAGACTGCTGCTATTAATAACTACAGTGAAGTTATTTATAGCAACTAATCAATATTCAGTAGTTTGAGCTAGATGTGAGATTTTTCAACTGAGAGGCATATCATACTATCTAGAAACGTCAAATTAGAGGCAGGGACAAAGAAGACTGGCGACTTATATTTTTGAAATCTTACTGAGTGTTACAATAGGCTCAAAATTTCAACTTTTTTACTAGCCCAGTGCCACTTTGGGCAATTGCCTCGGGCTAGTGCCTAATCAATATCATGCTTAGCCTACAGAAAACCAACACTTAAGTCTAACACGTGCACATCATCACATGCATGTACTCGGTACATCGTAAAATTACTTCAGTCAAATCTTCTATTCAAAAACAGGCCAACAGCCAGCAATTTCAAAAGGGGGAATCTTTTCCTGAAAAAGTATACCTTTGACTAAAAAAGCTGCATTTTTACAGATTGATCCTAGATCAAATAATGATTTAGAGCAAATATTTTTACAGCCAAAAGCTGTCTGCTTACTAGTAACACCCTCCATACCTCTCTCTCCCCTCCTAACAGGCCTAATTTAAAATCTACTGGTAAATTGATGCATATTGTGTAGTACATTGACAATGGGTAATTGAATCAGTTAAGAGTACATACTTTTTCACACTGCCACCGTGTTTGGAAGACTTGACAGGCACTGCTGGGGGAGGTTTGGAAAATGAAGAACTAGAAGACACACCAGCGTTCTTAGGAGCCACTGAGGGCGGTGATGGCTTGGTTGGAACTAAAAAACAAAAGTTATACATCTTCAACCTTGTCACCCAACTTAAATCAGAATTCATGCCAACTCTCAGACATATCTGTAAGATAATATGATTTCATAATTCAAAAATTTAGTTCAGAATTTAAATTACAACCCATAAGGACACAGCTAATTTTTTGAACTTATTTAGAAGCTAAGAGAGTATCAGTAGGTAATTAACCGTTTGTTCTTCAGCACATCACCACAAATTATGTCTTTGTCCTTGTACCAGTACATTTTGAAGGCCATATCTTATCTAATTAAGCTTTTACAATAACAATTAACCATTCCATCAATAACCATAAACCATTCTATTCCATATCTATAAAACACTGAGAAACATTGCTCAGAAAGATTTCCAGTAATATTAATTTTCAAAGTGTTTGTGCCTGTATGTTGGTGACTTACCCTGGGGTGTACCTACTGGTCTCTGTGGGGGTCCCGGTTTAGGGGGTATTGGCCTTGGTGGCCCTACCATTTCACTGACAGGCCTTGTCCCTGGCTGCAATGGTGGGGGGCCACCTGCATCTGTGATGGGCTTGGGCCCTGGCGGCAATGGTGGGGGGCCACCACCTGCATCTGTGACAGGCCTTGGCCCTGGGGGCAATGGTGGGGGGCCATCTCCTATGAGGGGTTTGGGACTTGGGGGAAGAGGTGGGGGTACCCCTGAATCTTTACTAGGCCTAGGCACTGGGGGAGGTGGCGCTGCTCTTGCTGGAATCGGTGGTGCTACTGCAGTTCCATTCTCCAATCCTACAGTATCATGTCACATTAAATGTAGATAAAAACTACCAGGAAAGCATTCAGGTATAATTATTTTAAAACAGTAACTTTACAATTTACTAGTACAAGCCTAACTCGATCGCTCGACTGTCACTTTAATCGTTTGGTGAAAGTAAAGATACATACAGCGGCCTAAAAGTAACACATTTACAAGCTATAATGTTAAAATATATTTATCAATTCTTGTTTGTATTCAGTGAAGTGGTCTTATGGCTTTGTGTTTTTCACCAACATCGTACGGGAAGCAAACGCAGTAATGCAAACCGACCAATATGCAACGTCAGTATACAAATATGCAGCAAATATAAAACCAAAGAAACCTTTTCCACATTCGTTATTCTTTCCCGCGTACATTCAATGAACTGGCCTCACCTTCTGTATTTCCATATCTTATAATAGTAGGTCGCTTTGGAGGCAGTGGTGCTGAGTTCACACTTCCGCCTTCTTCCGCCATGTTTAGGATACTATTGACTGTGGTAAGTGCCGGATGGTAGAGTCACAGGTGAGCAACATGGCGCAGAGTGAGAGATCCAGTGGACGTGTACGTGTTTTTTTATGGTATTGTGTTAAATAAATAGTTGATTAGTGCTCGCTCGAATACAGAGGTACCCGTGACAAATTTGACTGACACCCATACGAGGGCGGAAAAGACCCAAGAGTTGATAATGATTTAGATTTTGTTTGATGGCAATATGCGGAGTAGCAGACGACATACAGTATATCATACACATTGATTTTGACAGTTAGGTAGTAGCCTAATATTGGAATTGATGTTTGACAAGTACAAAAAAATGAAAAGCACAGTGTCTGTCTTCGTACTTCAGATGATTGGTATATTTGGGCTTTTTTGTCAGATTTTAAAACCCCATATAAGACTCGATAAACATTAGGGATCGTGTCAAAGTTTCTTTTAAACGAATTTAATGAGTTAAAGTTGATAGTTTGCTGGAAGATCATGGCACCATACAAGGCTTTTCAAAGGAGGGAGTTTGATCTCCTCTGGTGTTAGGTCACCTGAAATGGGGTGAACCGTACATGTATGGTCATTCATTTTGAGCATATATACATGTACAGATGCCCAATTAATTGTGTTATCGTGGAAGACCACTCTACCAACTGGTACGATATATATGATTATATCCATCTAGAGGCAATGCAAATGGCCCAAATTGATGCTTTATATTATACATCAGAGAAGAGGGAATTTGCAAAGAGTTTGCACTCTGATGAGGGGTGGGGCGTCATTTTTATTTAAAAAATAAATAAATAAAGCAATTTATGAGATCTAGCTGCTTGACAGTTATAAATGAAGGATGGCACCGTGCCAACCATAAGAAAAAGGAATGGGAGAGGAGATCAGTTGGCCATTAAAAGACAAATATTGCAGAGCTCAGGACTAGGAATGAGTCACATTTGTATTGGCGGGATTCTTGTTCATGCGTGAAGGGTATCACATCTTCGGTCTGAGGGGATTTACAGAAGGCACAGTGCTTGGAAAAGGTGGAGAAATTGATTTGCCTAGGACGTTTAAATTTAGCTGCAAGCAACATTTTCTTTAGACAGCTGGGAAATGTGACCCTGGCACAAGACTGAGACACAAAAAATTATGTTACAAATGGGCACGGCGCAATTCGTACAGAGCAGGTGAGAAAACACGGTTACTTGCAGCGGCGTATAAAAATTAGCACAGAGAATTAGTTATCCCATGGGAAGGAATCTACTTTTGTAATGAAAAGACTTCAACATGATGAAAGTATACCAGGAGTATGGGAATTGTGTGACGAGTACAACATGAGTCGCCGTCCAAAATGGGTCCTGTGACGTCGTAAAAAGGCCCACGCTAAGCGTGTGAGCAAACTGTCATACCCAGATGTACCAGTACGCCAGGACAGGATCAAGTAGGCCCTATTCAATGTTGTTTAAAGGCACTATATACACAGTATATAATTTAGTTATTTGAAGTGATCGTTGGCACTGAAAAATAACCTGCAAGGCAATACCTTCTTCATTTTTGACCTCATTTTTTTGCCGTGTAGAAGCAATATTAATGCCGAAAGACAAGTGCACGTCTGGTAAAAAGTACCCCAGCTTTAAATACTTTTTAACCAATAAAAAAGTGATATTTGGCAAAGAACTCGATTGATAGCTTGCTGTATTATTTGGCTTGAGTATACCCAGAAAGAGGAAAATCGCATTTTACCGAAGAACACTTTTCAAACCGAATAAAGCGTATATCGCCACGGCCACATAACATGTCTATATGTGTGTATTAAAAGGTTGGAAATACTCTCCTAAATAAAAATTTTAAAATCGGCTACTTTTATATCATGAGACAGCGATCGGGTGAAATCCACTGAATGAAGCGCACAGAATAATATCGAACCCCTAAGAAGTTTTGATCAGCAAGAAAACCCAACTTTTATCTTTTATCGAGGGAGACTTTCCAAACACGTGTACAATTAATATTGAAAATTCAATTGGGGGGGGAGGGGGGGTAAGACCCAAATCCGCCTGTAGCGTTAGGTAACGAAACGTGCAGTCAAAGTCGTCACTGATGATTTCATAATTAATTCATAGATATTATATGCACGTTTTGGGCCTATCTCAATACCAGCAGATAATATGACAGGCTGCAATGAATTATTTCTCTTGTCATCTTTGTGGATTAAGCTCATGTGCCTTAAATCCCAGCTAGAAGAAAACATATTGAAATGTGCTGTTGATTTAATTGTGGTCACAGTTTGGAGAATACCGGGAACAAAAAGCAACCAAGTTTTTCAGCGAGTTGAGAAGTGTGGCTGTTGGCAACGTAAGTGTATAACAGCATCTTTTTTACATTTTATAAAGAATACGTCGACGTGGCATTCGACTGATAAGAAAATTATGTTATTTCATCCATTTACATGTATCATCTACAGTGTATACCCCCTGTATATCTACATGTATCCATCTTAACAAAGAAATGGGTAGTTTTTAAGGTACATGAAGATCTCTCTCTCTCTCTTTCAAATACACACACGTATGAACAAACGCACACACACACTAAAATATAACATTAATTTGTCTAATGGGCCACAGATTGGTGATTACAAATAATAACATGTACATACATCCTGACCGCAAGGAGCACTAGTATATGTAGAATCTTAAAATTATTGAATAATCTCTTCTTCACATTTAAATGCTATAGAATACTGAAGACCCGTCTGACACCAGAAGGTAGAACTGGAACGTACATGTAACAATTAAGCTCTGACAATTAATATTACAATATTATTATATTTTCAGATGAACATTAGACCAAGGATAGACAGGTGTCGCATAGCCTTGGTAATAGCCTTCCTGCTCATGTTCCAAATCGGTGTCTTGAGAGAAGTCCTAGAATTAAGATTGAGGCAAAGACGACAGGAGAGTATGGTGTATTTACCCCAGGAAACTGTGCTCAGAGTAGAGCGACTCCTGCAGGCTGGGGGGTTACCAGTCCAGAACAACCAAAAACTTGCTGGAGCCGACAACATTAATGGCGAACCAAGTGATAAGGAAGAAGCAAAAAGATCTTCCTATGAATTAGAAAGATTCAATAACATGTTGAAGGCGTGGCCCGTCAACAAACCAAAAGCAGCCATCTACATCTTAGTCAAATCTTCTCGATTTACTTCCACCCTAAAGGACGGACTCGACCGGTTGGATAGATATTTTAACGATATCTATCACTACCCATTGGTACTGTTTCACGAGACAGGCGTCAGCGATACTGACATAGCATCCATTCGCTCTTGGACGAGGTCAGACGTTTACTTTCAACTCGTGAAATTCTCAGTTCCTAAATGGATAAACGAAACAAAATTGGAGGGCGATATTGCTAAAGCAGGCGATAAGCGCTATGGTTACAGACATATGTGTAGGTTTCATGCTATAAGCATGCAGGTCACGCCCATAATGCGCCTGGTCGACTATTACTGGAGGCTAGATGATGACTCACGTTTGATTGGCCAGGTTCCATTTGACCTTTTCAAGTTCATGGCGAAAGGGAACCTTACTTATGGATATGTGCACATGTCTCCAGAAAATCCCGATTACGTTGTTGGTCTTTATCCGCGCGTCAATTCATATCTCACCAACAAGCAGATTCAACCAACATTCTTCAGAAAACTGCACAGAAACAGATATTTCTTCAACAATTTTGAACTAGCTAGTTTACATTTTTGGAGGAGCAAAAACGTTTCCGAATTTCTCAACGCCTTGGATCGGTCAGGGGGATTTTATTATCATCGATGGGGAGACGCTGTAGTGAAGACCCTGGTTGTGTCCATTTTTGCACCTATCGGAAGTGTATATCAGTTCACTGAGGTGCCGTATGTGCATAAGAATGTGAACACAACCAGTAGAGAATTCAGGTATGCTTACGGAAGAAATCTGGCCCAGATGGTAATGTACTGATTGAAGACGTTACCAAAACCAAAGACTCGCGGGATATTTGGGTTATGACATCTGAGNTGTGGTCACAGTTTGGAGAATACCGGGAACAAAAAGCAACCAAGTTTTTCAGCGAGTTGAGAAGTGTGGCTGTTGGCAACGTAAGTGTATAACAGCATCTTTTTTACATTTTATAAAGAATACGTCGACGTGGCATTCGACTGATAAGAAAATTATGTTATTTCATCCATTTACATGTATCATCTACAGTGTATACCCCCTGTATATCTACATGTATCCATCTTAACAAAGAAATGGGTAGTTTTTAAGGTACATGAAGATCTCTCTCTCTCTCTTTCAAATACACACACGTATGAACAAACGCACACACACACTAAAATATAACATTAATTTGTCTAATGGGCCACAGATTGGTGATTACAAATAATAACATGTACATACATCCTGACCGCAAGGAGCACTAGTATATGTAGAATCTTAAAATTATTGAATAATCTCTTCTTCACATTTAAATGCTATAGAATACTGAAGACCCGTCTGACACCAGAAGGTAGAACTGGAACGTACATGTAACAATTAAGCTCTGACAATTAATATTACAATATTATTATATTTTCAGATGAACATTAGACCAAGGATAGACAGGTGTCGCATAGCCTTGGTAATAGCCTTCCTGCTCATGTTCCAAATCGGTGTCTTGAGAGAAGTCCTAGAATTAAGATTGAGGCAAAGACGACAGGAGAGTATGGTGTATTTACCCCAGGAAACTGTGCTCAGAGTAGAGCGACTCCTGCAGGCTGGGGGGTTACCAGTCCAGAACAACCAAAAACTTGCTGGAGCCGACAACATTAATGGCGAACCAAGTGATAAGGAAGAAGCAAAAAGATCTTCCTATGAATTAGAAAGATTCAATAACATGTTGAAGGCGTGGCCCGTCAACAAACCAAAAGCAGCCATCTACATCTTAGTCAAATCTTCTCGATTTACTTCCACCCTAAAGGACGGACTCGACCGGTTGGATAGATATTTTAACGATATCTATCACTACCCATTGGTACTGTTTCACGAGACAGGCGTCAGCGATACTGACATAGCATCCATTCGCTCTTGGACGAGGTCAGACGTTTACTTTCAACTCGTGAAATTCTCAGTTCCTAAATGGATAAACGAAACAAAATTGGAGGGCGATATTGCTAAAGCAGGCGATAAGCGCTATGGTTACAGACATATGTGTAGGTTTCATGCTATAAGCATGCAGGTCACGCCCATAATGCGCCTGGTCGACTATTACTGGAGGCTAGATGATGACTCACGTTTGATTGGCCAGGTTCCATTTGACCTTTTCAAGTTCATGGCGAAAGGGAACCTTACTTATGGATATGTGCACATGTCTCCAGAAAATCCCGATTACGTTGTTGGTCTTTATCCGCGCGTCAATTCATATCTCACCAACAAGCAGATTCAACCAACATTCTTCAGAAAACTGCACAGAAACAGATATTTCTTCAACAATTTTGAACTAGCTAGTTTACATTTTTGGAGGAGCAAAAACGTTTCCGAATTTCTCAACGCCTTGGATCGGTCAGGGGGATTTTATTATCATCGATGGGGAGACGCTGTAGTGAAGACCCTGGTTGTGTCCATTTTTGCACCAATCGGAAGTGTATATCAGTTCACTGAGGTGCCGTATGTGCATAAGAATGTGAACACAACCAGTAGAGAATTCAGGTATGCTTACGGAAGAAATCTGGCCCAGATGGTAATGTACTGATTGAAGACGTTACCAAAACCAAAGACTCGCGGAATATATGGGTTATGACATCTGAGTGATCAAATAGACTAATTATCGAAATAGACCTAAGTCTGTTACATACCATTATGCTTTGTACAGTATAAATAAAGGGGTCCTGTGTGAGAGTTGACTTGAAAAAAAAAAACGGATTATCAATATTCTACTGAGTTGTAAGAAAAGATCTCTGTTTCTGTTTCCTTTTCCCCAGTTTTTTTTTTTTTTTTTTTTTTTTTTTTTTTTTTTTTGTGTATTGCAATATAAGACTTTGGGAATTTAATTGTTATTGATCACGTATATAATATACAAGAAATGGCATCTCTTGCACTTTCATAAAGTAGTCATTTGTTAGCTTATTTAAGGGATCAATAAAATCGTCTTGGTAAATGAATTGATGTATTAGGAGTAATGCATTTGTATTTTAACTTAAAAGTTTTTAAATAACTTCTGGCAAAATGATCTATTTCTCTTCTTTCTATGGTTAAGTATGTAAAAAGTGTATGGTATAGTGTTATTAAACAGTTACCAGGGAAAAGGACAATTAAAAAGTAAGGGTTTTTTGTTGAAGAAGAACTATGACAACAACACAATTCAGAATAACATGTAATGCCAGTTACATAGGGGAAGGTGTAAACAAGTTGAATCTTGTCCAGTGGGGGCCAATATAACAAAGACGATTTCCTACATGAATCCCCCTATGCCAAAGTGCCGTAATTCAAAATGGCCGCCGAGGCACAGAGAATTGGATATAAATGAGCATACTAGCAGCTTTGGAAATAAGAGGCATAGAAAGTTTCCTAACATTCACCATACTTCAGTAACAACCTTGGAAAATTAAAAAGTATTTAACCGATATGCTTTATTATGTATAAAGTCGCGATAAAGAGTACGTTCAAGGCATCAGGGCACACCACGCACGATGTAATGCACCCCACCGGCAATTTGGACTACCCGGAATCATACGCTTACAAGCTTTACAGAAATAATGTAATGGGAATGAAAGTAAAATTTAATACATACTTCAGGTACATACATCAGATTGAAAGAGCATTTTGGACACTCTGAAGTAATATCTAACGTGGGCCCTATAGTCTACTATGCCATTTAAATTTGCGTCAACTAAGGGAAAAGAGGCCCGCAATTTCAAAAATAGAGAGATATAATTTTTTTGGAAATGTTCAAAAATTTTCAGCGAAGACAAACGTATGAGTCTTTCGTTGCTCGGTACACTAGGGACACACGTAGGCCTACGGTACGCTAGGGACACTTTCGGACTAATACGCTTCAGCTACGTTACTGTGTGTTTCTCTTACGTGTATGACGCACGTAGGGTTACTGAGAATAACACCTCCACTTAGAAGCATAGAACGTACAGAAGCACTGGGTCAGTCCCATGATAAGACAATATGATTTGAAGCAAAAATGAACCATATTTGAGCGTAATTCAAACGGAGATAAACTGTATTGCGTAGAAAGGTTAGTATCATTACCTTAACGTTACTTAAACGGACTTTAAAAAATGAGGTACTGTCACACTACGGCGTATAGCACTAACGCAAATACGCAGATAAACTTGCTGTGTTTGATTTACGACGTATACACGTTTATATACGCAGAAGGAACAATAAACTTTTGAGCATGTTCAGAAATTTTCTGCGTTTATGTGCGTATCACTAGCACGGTAATCATACTTTAAGGATGCGCTAGGAAATCGACGTATTCGCTAAATTGACACTAAGGTTACGTAATAGTTACGTTTTTAATGCCGTGGTCGGTATACCCCTGGTAGTCAGCGTATCCATGGCGTGTATGCAACGTGATATGGACTTAAGCTGTATGGATTAACGATTAATGAACTTATGTTAACACGTTTGGCTTATGTTAATACCGGTACATCCCTTGGTCTGCCAAACATATTTTACGTTTACCCAACGTTTGATTAGTGGATGAAAAAAGGCCCATGTACGTTTGGCCACATAAGGTATAATCAGAGCTCAATTGCCAAATCTTTATCACAGCTGATACAAATAGAGAGGATTGAGAAACCTGCTTTTTTAACCAGTTGGATCCATCTAGTTGGCAGTCGATAATCATCAGACAAATAAGTGCTTTACCCAAATATTATTCATACGCTCATGTGCGTTACTTATGTTCTAAACTCAAATACTAGAATACGCCAGTCAAACGCTCATTTAAGGTACTCATCCGTTACTCATCCGTTGATATACGCTACATTTATCAGAGACGGATCAAGGGTTTTTTAAAGGGGGGGGGGGGGGGGCGTATAAAATGCATGAAGCCATGAAGCCAGTAAGGTATTGACTCAATTCAATACTGTTCTGTTGCGTAGTTGGTAAAGGATAGAGATCAATGACTATCCCCGCCCAAGTATCATTTTAAAGACTTTAAAGCAGAGAAAAGAAATATAATTGACGACGAAGACTTTATGATAATGTCGAGCAGTAATTTGTTGTCAAAATCGATCACTAAGTCTAAACTATACCGGCTTTTTATGCAAAAGGTAATTGGCTCGGACACACGAGTGCCTACATTCATTTTAGATCGCGGGCCAGCTCATTATAGAGGTGAATTGACACGCATCATCTGAGCTTTGAAAACGTGACTTGCCGTCACCATGGTTTAATTTGCTGATGGATTGGTGCATTAACTATTCAACCAAACACGCTACCGACTGCGCCGTGTCTTACCCGTCCACCCTACTTACTAACGAGTTTCCTCTTATAGTAAGCAAATTTTAGAAATTATTTCGAGCAAAAGAATAGATTCGAATCCGCGTCCAGCTGTGTCTCGCTGTGTCGTATGGAACTCCGTTTGTACAATAAAGATGAATGTATCATTTTGACCAGATTTTTTTTTTTTTTTTTTTTTTTTTTTTTTTTTTGAGGTGCTAACATCATTTTGAGATCGTCACTTTCATCATAGAGTATTTTCTACAAAGTCGTTTTATCATTTTGCATGTCGAGTTTATCGTTTTGAGATACCGACATGCCTTGCGCGAGATGACGCAATACCGGGGGTCGTCTCATAAGAAACGGTGGGAAAAGGGTCCGTGTGTGGTGGGGCAAAGCGATTTCCATTTAGCCAGAAAATGATAGAAATGGCCAAAATGTAATGGAAAATGAAACTCAATTTTCGTTTTTCCACTTAAAATGAAAAACGGCAATTGCCTTCGTTTTTTTATATTTTACCATAAAATACAAAATACAACAT